CTTCCTTCCTTCCTTCCTTCCTTTCTTCTTATCCTCCTTCTTAGCATGTAACTGACTGACAATCAAAGTATGTTATAACTTACCAAATTTTACAAGTCTCAGCCAATTTGTAAGAGGGCTCCTTTTGAAACCTAGTTGCACCTTTACGCCATACTTCTTGAAGTCCGCATCCGTCAAGTTGTACATTTTGACTATTGCTGTACAATTCACACAGTCGTAAATATTCCCGCTCCAATCCACCTTTCTTTCAAATCCGCTTCCTTTAGATACCACGTTGTTTTCTTGGACAGCCAGGATCTTGTTTTTCACAAAGCCAGAATCATCCCAAACACCAAAAAGAAATTCCCTGAATGTAGATGAACTGGAACAGGATCCGACGTGAAAGTGCCACTCTAATGTGACATCACTGCCTTCGTCTCTGTACACTTCTTCATCAGGTTTATCGATGAACGAATCTGTCGTACTTGAAGCTGATAAAATATAGTTTGCGTTAAACCAGTACATTACCAAATGTTTTTTTTACTAGAGCCACAGATATAATATTGGTCCACGTTAATAGTTAAAGTGAGTTCAAGAGTAACTATAGGCGTCAATTTTATAAGTCAGTAAAAGACTTCCATTGTTTCTTCTACCTTATATTGTTTCTAGTATGAATAAGTTTGATAAATCATATTTTTGTAATGATATTCTAAGTTAGTTATAGAGCACATGCAGTAAAACCATGAAATAAAATCAAAATTGATACTGACAAACGGTGCTGTTTAGTGACTTATAGTACACTCAACAAGATTACTCGACTCTGATTGGTCGAGAGGAGTACAATTATAGCGTTAATTGTACTCCGTAGGTCGCTATGGCAACACGGCCAAAACAATTATTTTCTATCATTTTGTACTTAAAAAACATATAAATGAAATTTATATCGCTATGGCAACACGGCCAAAACAATGTCAAAACAATTATTTTCTATCATTTTGTACTTAAAAAACATATGAATGAAATTTTAAAGCCGTAATAACTAATCTTTTTTATGCATTTGAGTAGCGCGATGGACTGAAAATCGGCCGCTAAATAGACAAAGATGAACGGGCGTCAGTTCGCATTTTTTACTGAAATTTTGTTGAGTGAACTATAAACAAAAAATCCTACGATCTCGAGTACAATTTGGAAATTAATAGACACGAGTAATGTTTTGAAAGTTCTTGTAATTGCACGAGCCTTTGCGATTTCCTATACAAATAGTCGCTAGCACTTAACCAGAACAGTTCATAAAACAAAGACACAAATGGTCTTTTGTGTATGTGCACTCCCCACAAGATGTTATCATTTATATTATCATTTCCTGCTGATTTTTGAGTCATTTTTAAAAACGAAAATAAAACTGAAAGCTTAAAATATCATTTTCAGAATATTCTAGAAAGTGTTTTTTATCCTTTTCCCCTCTATTAACTCTGTTTTCACATACGGACTACAATATCAAATGACCTGGTAAAACGTTATATGTCAATAATATGACAGCAAAAAGCCTGAAAAGAAAAGCCATAGACCATGACTGACATATATATCAACAAAATCAAAACCCTACCAAACTTATGCCATCAAAGTTTTTTAAAACTCGGTAACCAAACCGTAATTTTTATGCCCAGCATGTTTAAACTTCGCCGCACAATTTTTGAGTATTATTTCAGTAGAGTTTTTTCAGGCAAAAAAATTTTCCTTTCGCAAATTTAAGATGAAAATGTCTACGATACGCGGTCCATGGAGCGCGCGTTTTAGGAAAACTGTTTTGAGCCGCTGATCAAATCAAAGTGGGAACGAAAAAATAAAAAAGATAAAATGAGAACATAAAAATTCTAAAGAGATGACACTGTTAAGCTTGTGACAATTATCATGATCCGTTTTCTTTTTTATTATTATTATTATTATTATTATTATTATTATTATTATTATT